GTTCTAGATGCTGTGGCATAAACAAGGTGAACAAACACAAATCCCTGTCCCCTTAGAAGAAAGCTTCAAACTGTAATGGCTATTGGAAAGAAGCCACGATGATGGCAAAAACATCATGGTAAAGTAGAAAGGAAAATTCACCATACAGCTGGCTAGCTCATGACCATCAGGGAAGCAGCTTTCCTTTCATTTCTTGAGGCTTCATTAGCAGGGCATGTGTGCTGGGTATTCCAGATTTATGATTTATAAAACGTTGATTCAGCGCATGATGTTGTTAAATGAGGAACACTGCTGGATTTCTCTGTATTGAATTCTAATTTTTAAAAGCCATGCTTGATTATTTTATTGGGCATAATTGTATTTTATGGAGGCAGCTGGCAGGCAGTGGAGGGAGTCAGTCTAGCATACCCATTTAGAATAAGGGCCACAGAGGCAGGGAACGCAGATTCACACTCTGACCTGACCACTGACTGACTGGCTGCCACGCCTTAGGCAAGTTACTTAACCTTACTGAGCTCTTCACTCAGCTGTAAGATGCGACTGATGACAACGTCCACTCCAAAGGGTTATTGAAAGGATTGCAGACATATGTAAGAGGCACGTGCAAAGTGCCTGGCACAAGGGTAGCTCTTGTTGTGTTAATATGTGTCATATAAGAAGGTGCCTACATCCTTCATTTTAACTAAACTCCTTTGGCTGGCTTTAATATACATAGGGTCTTTCAAAGTAGAGCATTCTTCATTTTAACCCCAAAGCCTTTGCCTTGTTGAATTCTCCTGCACTGTGGACCTCTGCACTGGGGGCAGCACTCAGTGGCCAGCAGTGCCACAGCCCTGGGATGCATTCTGGAGTGAGGGTCCCGGGGCTGGAGGAGAGCAAGATGGGAGATCTCTGTGAGGGAGAAGCCCTGCCCAAATGCATGAGACACAACTTGCTATTGTAATGTTGAACAAATGGGCAATTCATTCTCTTGGGAACTGAGGTGGGGGGATAAAAATGGAGTGAAGGGAGAATTTGGATTTGGATCAGGGGCTGTAGAGGAAAGTATTTGCTTTATAGGAAGTAGGGCTGTAATTAACTACCTTGAGACACATTTATGCCACAAATTGAATTAAAAAAAAAATTACAGAGAGAAATAAGTAGACAACCGAAGGTGAGCATGTCAGCAGAGCTTCAGATGCCAGAGGTTACCTTGAACGGCATTTTTGCTCTTAGAACTCTGTTCTTAGCAGCGTGGCAGTTGCTCAAGAATCTATATTAGAAAATTAGTTGACTAGGACACTTGCTGCTTTCTATCTAAGCATATCAGAGTGTGAGATGGTGTTGCTGATTGGAGTCTTGGCCTTTGAATTCTTCTGTGGCCCATTTCTCCTGCAAACAGGAACTTTGTTTTTTTAAGTAAACAGTGGGTGTGTTTTTTAGTTTGTGACGGTAATAATTCAACGATGATGAGTGTGTGCTCTTCCATTCGTCTGCTTCTTGCACCGGGGCATCCTCCAGCTGTGGGCCTCTCCCTCCCTGTATGTAAAGCTTGTAAACAAAACCAGAAGCCATGGGAAAAGGGTAAAGAGAGCAGCAGAAAGAACGTTTGCTTTTGTGGAAAAGCCCGCCACTGGTTGAATTTAAAGAAAAGTTGATGGATCTTTTTCTCTTGCTTATTTTAATAGAACAAAGCACTGCTCGCAGGGCCAAGGGGTCCTTCTCTGTGTTGAAAGTCAATTTCAGCCTTGTGCTGCGACTCCTAACAGAAGATGAAACTTTTACATCTGATTGTAAGAGATGATCGGTTTGGGGAAAAAGAAAAAAAAAAGCAAACATCTGTCTTGCAGGTCAGCCTTTATATTACACTGTTTTCATTTCGTCGTGGGATACCAGGCTTTTAACTCACTAGTGAAGTCTGTGAAGCTGGAAGTCTTAGAAGCTATTTTTATCCCACACAGTCCACCCCTGGTTTGGAATAAGATTGCTAGTTTTCCTTGCAGAACTCTAATCCACACTCAGCCCTGAACTGAGGAGTTGAGTCAGCTGGCTGAAGCTTCCTGTCTCTCTTTTCCTTTATTGGGAACAGGAAAGGTGCTGTGGAGAGGAATCCGGGCGGGATCGTACAGGGGAAGGTGACAGCAGATGGTGGGAAGGCTGCACTCTCGGCCAGCGGGGTGTCAGGAGCAGAGTGAGCCTCAGAGAACAGCAGCTGCCCAGCGCCAGAGCAGGGACAGAGCAGGCAGGCTGGGCGGGGCCGTGTCTACAGGACAGAGGGGGAAGCACACACACACTGGGCACAGACTTTTAGCTGGCTCTCCATGTCAGCATGAGCAGTAGCCAGGGCGCCGGGCAGTTGGCACCTCAGCCTATCAGAATTCATGGGAGGTTATTTCTTAAGTGAAATTCTAAAGAGTTAAAGGATGAATTTGGACAGTGATGGAATGGATGACATCATCAGTCAAGAATCCTTATTGGATATGGAGGGGAATTATAAAAAGGTAAGGGGGGAGAGCTCTTTTGTTTATAAACAATTGGACCATTTTTCTAACTGGGAGAAAGATCACTCTTGAGGAGTAGCCAAATTCCACACTCAGTGGCCATTACCATGATATACTCAAGAAAACTAAATGCACAGAATTAAATGCATTAAGCTAAGAGAGTTCTTTCTGCTTTTCCCAGCTTATATTCATTAATATATTTATAGAAGTAACTAAAATACACATGTTATTAATCTGAAGTTGAAAAAATTCTTTTATGCATTTAATTGCTAGTCAGGCCTTTAACGTAAAGGAGTATTTTAAAAATTATTGACAGTTCACCTGCTATAATTGCTAGCGTGTTTAACCTCTTTTTCTAAGTTTGACTTTTTTAGCAATGAAAAATTATAAAGCTTTATTAAGAAAAATGAGAGTTTTAAAAAATTGTTATAGTATCTGTTAATCCTTTGCTTGCCTTTTCTTTTGAAAGTTAGGAAATATATTTTGAGAATGTTTTATATGGTAATTCTCTGGTAATAACAGGCCCAAGTAAAAATAGTTTTAGTTATATGGGTGAGGTCATGAAATTGAACTACAAGTATATACTTGTCTGTCCACAAAAGGCTAAACACACACTATGTCCTTTCCCCCCTTGTTATTTGCTATAAGTCAAATGAAGTTCACAGTGTAGCACAATATGAAGAATAAGGACCCTTCCATCATGAACCTGGAGATGGAGACCTCTTTTCCCTCAGAGACAAATAGCAGTTAATATAGCCTGATAGAACAGTAAAACTTGCTGCTAAATTTTGTTTGATCAAATACATCGTTAACTTTCTCCCCAGAGTGAGATATAGAAAGAAGCTTATATCATGATAAATCTTGAAGCATAGTAATATAAAATATGACCATTTATATTCTATATATATTATATAGAATAATTGTGTGAGTATGGGGGCTATTTTAAGTATATACCTTATTTCTTAGAGCAGTCAACAATAGCTTATGTTCTCTCTCCAGAAGCTGGGAAAGAACCTAAGTGTGTAAAAGAGGTTTCAAGGATCTGCCATGTTGCCCTGTGCGTTTTTCATTCCCTGTGATCCCCAGGAAGGAGACGAGTGCCCGAGGTGATAAGTTCGCCAAGTCCTGAAACCCTAACGTATCTCAGCTGTCCACTCCTCCCGGAAGCAATGTGCAAAAGACACTTGGGACACTCTGCCATAAGAGTGGGATCACTTACCCGATCCTGCGGAACAAGTGTGCCCTCTCATACTTCCTCTGTTTTCAGTGCTAACGCACTGGTCACAGTTGCCTTTGTCAAACCATTTCTCAGATAGAAAAGTGTAGGTCAGTTTGCACTTGGCAAAAATGGAAGACAAACCATTGCTAATGCATTAACAATGAAGTCATGACCACCGGAGTTTTATTCTACTTAGAAACAGAGAGAGAGAGAGAGAGAGAGAACCCAGGCGCCTAGAATAAGTGAGTGATGATACGCTGGCAACCTGAGACAGGGCTGACTAAACCTACAAACATGGAAGGCTCACAGAGCTTTAAATCATCAACAACAACAAAACACAGTCGCATTGTGTAACCCATTATCTAACTAAGGCAGTAGAATGCTGCATATGATTTCAGGAGAAATAGTATCTGATAAGTTAGTACAAAAAAACACTAGATGAAGCTTCTAGATATGTGGAATGCTTAGAGATCGGTATATTGTGTTCTGGACCCAAAACGTGAGAGTTGTTCTCTTGTCATTTCAGCTCTTTGAATACCTTTCTCAGGCAGAGAGCTGTCAAATTTAAGTATATCATGGTTACATTGAAGTCTTCATTATGCTTTTAAGAACCACTATCTGTAATCTCACTAAGAGCTTCTAGTGAAACAGGGCAACATACGCTTTTTTAAAATGTAAAGAATAGGAAAACAGTTACCAAAGCATAAAAATCACTTTCACTAATTAGAATCTTCCTTTTCTAATTTTTTTCTCTAATGTTTTTGTTGTTTAATTGGCTAAGTAGAAAATTAAATCAGATGCCATAAAGCAGTGCTCTGAAGGCTTTTTTGACCTTGCATCCTTCAGTAAAATGTTTTTGAGTCCATGTGTCTAATATACACATATTTTATTAAGAAGTTACACTCAGTCACCATCATAAAAAATGTGTGTAAACATATAGATATTTTAAGGAGTAAAATGTTTAAAATATAAATTTAAAAGTTCTAGTATTCCTTTTTTCAACTCCTGTGGTACTCTTACCCCACTTTGAGGTCACTTGTCAAAAACAATTGGAAAATCGGTATACCCCTGCCTAAATACCAGATAATTCCCTGAACCAGTTACAGTAATAAATACCACATGCGCATAGGGATTATTTTACAGGGTTGTTTTAAAGTCAGACAAACAGCCTTTGGGGGAAAGGTCACTTTCTGATGACTAAAATTAGATTCCACCGAGGCAGAGGGAGGAAAAGATTATACATCTGTTCTTTTCCTTGGGGAAAGTCCTGATTGTAAGAAAGATGTTTCATTAAGGACCTCTGGTTTACTCAATAATAATAGTAAAACTGTACTCAACAGAAAACAGATCTTAGTGTTTAGGAAGAAAATACCAGACTTCAGCAGAATCTGAGGTGTGTGTGTTTCAGCCCATTATTTCCCTGTCCTGCTGTGAGCAACTTCTGATCCTCTGGTAAAGAGCCACACAGCGGATTGTCTTCAGGACCAGGTGGCACGAAGCATAGGAGTCACTGTCCTGATTCATTCCAATGTCACTTACCAAGAGCCACCCCGTGTGGCTGGCATTGTGCACGGCACCAGGATCACAGAAGGAGACTGAGGTTCCCTGCAGGACCTTCCAGTCCGATTGGGAAGGCACATGAACAAGTAAGCTACGCGTAATTGATGCTGCCTGGAAGAAGGTTCACATGGCAGCCAGTGTGGACTTCTAAACTTGCAGCCCACGCCATCTCAGGGGGGGTAAGATCCAAATTACACTAATGGAGAGAGAGAGAAAAATTAAAGGTTTTAATATAGACTGTGGCAGAAGACCAGCTCCAGCTTTGTCCCAGAGCAGGGAAAATGCAGGGAAATTGGCCCTGCCCTCTGCTCCTGGCTACTACGCGTAGAAGGAAGGAGCTGAGGACGAGGCAACGTCCGGGCCCGGGACTGGGCAAGCCGCTCGCCTGGCTTTGTTCCTCAGGGGTGCTGTCTCCAGCATTGTGCATCCAATTATGGTGAAAGATTAGGGAGGCCCCCGTGAAAAAATTAAAAGGCTGGAAGGAACAATATTTAAAGTGAAGCCACAGCTGCGCCTCATGTTTTTTTTAAAAGGTGAATGGAAATGACTGCTTGAGATAAACTGCAATAAACAGGAACGCAGAATGCCAGCTGCCATTCCAGACAAGCGCTGTGCCCTCCCCACACAATTACTGAGGAAAAGCAGCCGTCGACCTCCATTAACCCTCACGTGCTCCTGTCTGTGCAGGCTGAATGTGCCTGAGCCACCACGCCAAGTCACCGGAGCCTGGGGCCTCGCCCCACCTCAGCCACCTGGGGAAGATCTCTTCCCTTTTGTGGGCCGGGTCTCCTTTTCTCTAAAGGGGGGAATCGGCCTAGTCAGTCTCAGATGTTGTAAATCTGAAGCCTCCTGGCTCCTAGTTCAGGGTCCGTTCCGTCATGTCACCCGGCTGGCACACCTAGGGTAAGGTCAGGGAACGGGTCGTTTCCCGTAACTAGATTTTCCAGTTAACTGCCAGGCATGTTAAATTTATCCTCGTTCTTCTCACACGCGTGTGTACACACATGCATACATACCTGCATGTACTCGTGCATGTGCACACGCACAGGCGCCCTTCTCCATGTCATGGTTGTCCCCTTCCTCAGCTTCTCTGCTTTGTCTCCTTCTCCCTCTTCTCATCAATTTCCTTAGGCTTCTAGCTCTCTTGCATTTTGTGTATGTGTATGGCTTTCTAAAAATTGAGATATAATTCACATATATAAAATCCACCATTTTAAAGTATGCACTTTGATGGGTTTCAGTATATTCATATAGTTATACAAACCATCATCTAATTCCAGAACATTTTCGTCACCCCCAAAAGAAACCCTATAACCATTACAGTTAGTCCCAAGTCCCTCCTTCTCTTAGCCTCTTATAACTACTAATTTGCTTTCTGTCTCTGTAGATTGGCCTGTTCTAGACACTTCTGTCTCTCTTAATTCTCCCTTTCTTCACTCTTCCCACTGCCTTACCCACCCTTTTAATATTAACAACAGCTACCATTTAATAAAGTTTTCTTTCTGTGCCAGGCACTGTGCCAAGCACTTTCTATATAGTTTTTCATTTAATCATTAAAACAACATAAAAATATGTATTATCTCTTCTTTCAAAAGAATAAACTGGGGCTCAAAAAGTTTCAGTAACTTGCACTCATGTCCAAGTCAGTATGTTAACCTGGGTCTTCTCAACTCCAAATCCCCCACCCCTGCCTCCTTCCTGGTCATGTCTGTGTCCTCCTCTCCCAGACCCTAAGTCCATCCTGACACGGGGGTTGAGGACACTATCTTCCTGGCGGTGGATTAAGCTTTGGCCGTTTCATAACCATGCAGTAGGTGTTTTGGACTGTTGTGTTCCTGACAGTGATACTGAATGACTGTGATGGATTTACAGGCTCCTAAAATGGCACCTGTTAAAAATAGAGTTGCCAGATAACACCATCCTGTGTTTAAAAGTAGTCTCTGTAAGCAACCATTTGAGAACTAGAATGAGCTCAGGCTCATTCCCAGCAATTTGGGTTTGGGATATGCTGCTCCTAGGAGAGGAAAATCATTTAGTTTTCAACTGTAACCCTCTAGGATGGGGGAGGGGAACATTTGCATGTTGGAAGGCTGCATTAATTTAGCTGTAATCAAATAAGGCCAGATTCAAGAAACTTCAATTCGATATATTTAAAAATGTACATTATTTTATAAAAATCTAACTACTATGAACTTAATAATTTCAAAAACGATAACTATTTGTTAATTTTAAAGTACCTTTAAATGACTTTGTTGTATCTGCTTTTTGTTGGAAAGCATTTGAATATTTGGTTGCAGCTTGGAGGTCCATAGTTTCATTTCAGTTGATCCTCTAGATGGGTATCAGTTGTTTGTGACCTTCAGGGCGTCTGGATTTGGGTTAGGTAAGATAATGTAGATTTGCAGCAATAAGTGGTTGAAGAGCAAGAAAGCATTTTTTGAGCATGTTGCTGAAGGTGTGGGTATTTTACTGTATTTTTTCATATTCCAATTGGATCTTTCTTTGCGTCAGACAATGACTTGAAAATGTCATCTACCAAGAGCTCAATCAATTCCATCTGTAGTTCTTTAGATTTCTTGGTGATATCAACCAGGTGAGACTGAAATGCTAATTTGAGTGTGATGTCATGATTCTCAAAGTCAGTGAACCTTTCATTGTATTCTCCAATAGGTCTATACCAGCTGCATATTCTTCAGATGACTCATATATATCATCCTGCTCATCAGTGACCTTTGTTAACTGGGGAAAATGTTAACCCAAAATTTTCTTTTTAAGAAGAAGTGTTTTGAAAAAATAGATTTTTTTTGAAATGTTTGGATTTTTTTTGCCACATATCATATATAGACTTTGTTTTACCTTGCAAGGAAATATTCAAGTCATTTTGATTTGATATGATATCAGACAAAAATGCTGCATTCCTATAGAAATATTTTAATAATTCAAATTGCTGATTCTGTTCTTCATGAAATTTAACTGTTCTCCTAGAGATAAAATTTTGGTTAATGCCTGTTCCTGCAATAGCCAATGCACTTTAGAATGATATAGCAAATCCAAACTGAATATCTCATATTCAACTTTAGCATGTTACAAAACTGACTATGCTGTGTTGCATTTGCACAAATATAGTTAACAATACTTATAACTTGTTGCAAAGTGTCACTTAAAATAATAACTTTAGTACAGAGATTTTGCTGATGCAAGCTACAATAAAAAAAAAAAAAAGAGCATCTGTATATGTTAATACTTTTTTATCTGTGCAACAAACCCTTCTCGTTTTCCTGTTCTGGAAGGTGCACTGTATGTACATACTTTCACTAAATTTACCAAATTTGGTCCAACTTCATGAAATTTATCTTGAAAGTTGTTGAAGTTATCTATTCCCTGTGTACTGTTCACAAGAGTGCCCAAAGCAAGTAAGTCTTCATAGCAAAGAAAATCTTCTGTTATGACCTGAATGAGGTATAAAACCTGGTGCCAAGTCAGTAGTATCAGTTGATTCATCCGAAGTGATTGAATAATATATATTTTCCTTTTGAAATATTGCATAAACGTTAAGTTGAAGGCTAAACTCATGCTGCTGATCAGTTATGGTTCTCCTTCAAAGAGGCAGTTGTTTGTACTTTGTAACATTATCGGGGTCTAAGCATCCTACAATTTCAACAATGCATTCTTTCACAATTTCTACATCACTGAATGGCTTCTCTTTTTCTCCAAGTATATAAGCTACTTTATAAGTTGCTTCAGAGGCATTATTTCTAGGTCTTCTTGCAGCTTGAATGAATTGTCTTTGCTTTTGCTTTTCATCTTTTTCTTCTTCTTTTGACAGAGTCTCTCACTCTGTCACCTGCAGTAGAGTGCAGTGGTGCCATCATCACTCACTGCAACCTCAAATTCCTGGCTCAAGCGATCTTCTTGCCTTGGCCTCCCAAGTAGCTGGGACTACAGGTTCGCACCACTGTGCCTAATGAACTTTTCAATTTTTAGCAGAGTCGGGGTCTCACTCTTGCTCAGGCTGGCCTCGAACTTCTGAATTCAAGCTATCCTCCCACCTAAGCCTCCCAGAGTGCTAGGATTACATATGTGAGCCACTGTGTCTGGCCTGCTTTTCATCTTTTACTTTCTGCAATGCAACCTTTCATGCCTCTTCCTCTAATTTAAAATATTTGTGGTTATAATGAGTGGTATAATGCTGATGAGCATTCAATTTCTTTAATGTTGATACTACAGTATCACAAAGCAAGCAAATCATCTTATCTTTAGTAGAAACAAGATAATATTGCAATTCCCAATCCTCATTAAAAAATCTGTTTTCTTCCTTCAGCATTCTCTTGATCTTCTTTGACATGATGGGCTGTTAAGTAGACAGAATTAAAAACTGTTGTCGAGCTATGCAACTTCTTACAAATTTTACTTCAGACAGAAACCGTGCACTGTTGTCAAAAGCTGATAACAGACTGGTGTATTTGACCCCCATAAACTCTCACCCACCAGCCTCATGCGGTAGTGGTGCCAGTGAGGCAGGGGAAGTTAGAACTAAATTATGAGTGTGGCAGCCATCAATTTAGCCCTTATGGCTTACTAATGTTCTAATTGTGCCAGTCAATCTGGGAGGATGATTTTATTGAAACTTATTTTTTTAAATAGGTTCATTTAAAAAGTAAAAGTATAAAAGATGAATAAAAATGTATTGATAAAAGTAAAAGGATTTGTTCTGTAAAATTTGGATTCAGTCAAAAGGCCCCACTTAAGGACCTAGAAGGCTATATGTGGCCTTAAGGCCACAAGTTCCTCACCCCCACTCTGGGATGCAATGCTGAAACACAGTAGTCATCTTTGTGGGTCGCATGATGAACTCCTTTACCTTCACCAAAGTTCCCATTCTAAGTGACTGCTGAACTTTAATCCTAGGTGCTTTTTAAGTAACTTTGCTCTGATCCTTAACAAGTAGAATACTCAAGTGTTAGTGACTCTGCACAATGGCACTTCTGTCTGCCTGCTTCTGTTTATGTCACTTCCCTGTAGCATGAGAAGAAGGAATGTAGTCAACACTAGGAAAAGCCATCCTCACAGACTAATTGTAAACAAACATCTTCATTCTCTGGACTGGCATCTCGGCACTTTTGATGTCAGCCAATTCTCAAGGAAAACAGGTGTCAGAAGGCTCTCGGTCCCAGAATCCTTCTCCTTGGGTGCCCAGCCTGGACTTTGGGCATCCAAGGCCAGCTCTCTCATGAGTACCAGTTGTGAGCAAGTTGCACTGTAAGGACCCTGTGTTGCCTGAGAGCCCAGGCTGACACCCATCCAAAGAAACTTGTTTAGGCATATTGATGCAAGGATGCAAACATAAGAAATTTCAACATTTTAGGAAACCTGATTTGGTGGCTCATCATGACCTTTCTGGGATGTTTATTATTAAGTTCCTGAAATGGAAAATGTCAGCAATACAAAATGGAAAAAAAAAAAGTGTCCAGGTTTTTATATCTATTCCATGACAAAATGGAAAGATACTATGTTATGTAACTTATATTTTTACTAATAATTAAAAAATACTCCCCAGGAGATAAAATAAGATGCCAGAACTTGAAATAACCTGCATAGTGCAAGTATTTAACCACTTGACGTTCAAAAGCATGTGATTTATTTTCTTATGTAATACTGTTTTTATATTTTGATCTTGTGCTAGATTGAAGGTTTATCTCAGTGAGAAAATAATGAAAAAGTACTATCAGCATATTTGGGTTTTCTTTTTGCTTTTTTGTTAGAAAGAAAACTAATAAAATTTGCCTAATAAACAAATAAGTTCTGTACTTCTGGTTCATAATGTTTGAGAGCCTCAGACACCCCCACACTGCAATGCTGCCTATGAATGTCAGAACAAAACCATCTTACAAGCTGAGGAAAGAAACAAGAGTGACTACTATTTTCCTAAAGGAAAAGCACTTTCCCACAGGGAGCTCCAGAATCCCAGTTGCATCCGTGGTGGATGCTGCTAATAGCAATGATGCCAGATATCACTAGGCAATAGATTGCACTGCAGCAAGGGGATCATTAATTGCTTCAAAACAGGCGTCCTGGCAAGGCCTTGGCAGAGGCCAGACTGCTACCAATGAAATCCACCTGGCTGCAGAGTCTGGACTTGCCACATGGAGCAGATGTGTGCTCAGCTAAAGGAGAACCAACTCTGTTCATCTAGCTACTTGATCTATTCAGTTGTTTAAAGCTGTGGTTCACCAAGTGCCTGAGCCAGCAGCATCAGCAGCATCTGGGAACTTGTTAGAAATCCACATCTCAGCTCCACTCCGGACCTCCTGAAAGAGAAAAACAGTCTGTGTCTTCACAACCCTCCAGGCAATTCTCATGCCTGATCAAGTCTGAGGGTTTCTGTGTGTGTGTGTGTGTGTGCGCATGGCCATGCATGCATGCCCACCTGTGTTATCCTCTGCTTGGCAGACCCTGTCTGTGCGACCCCTGGCATCCTGAGTTTTTTGCTGGGCCACGGGGGCCCAGTGTACTCATTAGCTTCTGGGAGGATACTGCTCACAATCCTTAGCAAGTTTTTCCTCGGTGGCGTGTTGTTTCCCTTTTTACCATTGGTAGAAAGTATTTCCTTCATTCCTTTAACAAGCATTTCCTGAGACCTGTGTGTAACACCGGTGTAGAAGATGGAGAGAGAGCAGCCAAGGCCTGTGAGGTGTCCCCACCTGTGAGGCTCCCTGTGAAACCTCTAACCCTTGGTAACTCCTAGAACATACTAGAAATGCAGAGTCTCAGGCCCTGACCCTGAATCAGGACCTGCATCTGAACAAGGTCTTCAGGTGACTCACATGCACCCTGAAGTCGGAGAAGCACCGAACTAGGCAACAGTTTAGCAGTGTGGAAAAGAGGATGCTAGAAGTGGTATCTGTACGGGTTGGTAGTGAATTGAGCACCGAGGCAGTGAGTGTTATAAAACAAGTATATCCCATAATAAAAAAGTCTATTTCAGTTGCCGTGATGAACAGGTAACAACAGTAAGAAACACATGGAGCTGTGGAGGAGGGAAAGCTGAATCCAGGGAAGAGATGGAAGATAGGAAATTGGGGGAAACATTTTCCTTCCTCCCACAACCGAATCCTAT